ACAAATAAATGATTGAAAACAGGCCCTAAGAGATGGGTCCAGGAAACCTGGGGACTAAATTAAGAAAAAATAAGAGTAGGGGCAAAACCATAGACGAGAAAACAAGGGACACACATGCAGGGAACTAAAATAGTACTAATATAAAGAATAAAAGTAAGTGTAGTTTAATGCCATATATTTTTGACACTTTGATGCGCTTACAGCCAATAACAGAAGCTAACAGTGCAATCATTATAAGGCCCGTCTGGGAGAATAGAGAGATTCACTGCTGCAACAATAATGATTAAGTAAATTGCAATTATCTGTGCAAGATATGTAACTCGATTTTTAGGGATTTTTTGAGCAGACACCAAGCAATTTAAACTTGATTTCCTACTGCCCAGATACGCAATAAGCGGCCTAGCTCATTTTTTTTTAATTAATCACTGTCTTCAATACTGAGTGAAAGATCTTCAATACCGCCGCCGTCGCTAACAAAAGTTCTAACCGATCACTAAATTTCTATTATTTTGTAACGGGTCAATAGATCTTTATAAATTTTGCAGAAGTGATTTTTGTGTCTTAAGAAAAATATCTACATCGGTTCCATGTACTCAAGCGGAAGACGCGGTTTACAAATTTTGGCGCGAAATGTTTGTGCAGAAATGTATGCATAATTCCTTGTTAACTTTATAAGTGAAAAAAACATAAAACATGGCAAGAATGTCGATGCAGGATTGTGCCGTAGCAGTTGGAATGTTAAATGCTGGAGCCTCTATCAGACAGGCGAGTGGCTGTTCATAAAAATATTTTTTTTAAAAATATCGATAAAGGTTTTAAATAGAAAAAATGTTATAATTTTATTATATGTTCATTCCTATTTCAGGTCGCAAGACACTTCAATCGGACCTTTTATACATGGACTTTGGACGAAGTATCAAGGGACCGGAAACGTTTCTGACTTACGCCGCAGATCAAGAAGAAAGGTTACAACTCGCCGACAGGATCGTGAGTCACATAAGGAATCGTTTCACCCCTGCAACATCCACGGCTTCATGTACAATTGGCATAAACAACCGCCGAATATCGACACAAACTGTACGTAACCGCCTCAGAGCCGTCGGGATACGTGCCCGTCGGCCTTTTAAGGGGCCTATTCTTTACCGCAAGACACCGAGGGAATCGTTTGACGTGGGCCAGACAACATCTTCGATTTACCAGGGCTGACTGGGCCAATGTGTTATTTGTGTACGAATCATGAATCAAACTACGCAATGCGGACGGGTACGTGTATACCGTCGCCAGGAAGAAAGGAATTGTGCCAACTGTGTCGTAGAGGTTGACAATTTCGGTGGTGGCTCATTGATGGTGTGGGCAGGCCAAGACAGTGATCGTACCTATACGAGGTAATCTCAACGCCCGCAGGATGATGTTGTGCAGCCCATTCTACATTCTACTACGGATAAACCGTGGTATGTTGTCGGTGCAGGACATGTCATGTTGCCAGAACCACTAATAACATGTTGGTAGCCAACAATGTCAGATTCCTTCTATGGCCATCGAAAAGCCCGAATCTCAATCAGTTGGAACACGTATGGGATTTATTGAAAAAACATGTCCGGGATCTGCCGGGTGATCGGTAAGAACTTTTGTTCAGTGTAAATTTGTTTTCATCAGTAGAAACAGCAGCAGCAGTGGTCATGTTATGATTACTATACCGGTTAAGTATATTGCACATTAATCAATATGCAATCTTATTCTTTAATTTCTCAATACACTATTGTTACATTAATTGCGCTTCATTGTAATCATTAATGAGGATGTCACCAATTTTCAACAAAAGAACCATTGTCCCAGGTGATTAGCATTATCATCAAATTTCAAAAGAACCATTGACTCAGGAGATTAGTATTATCTACATATCACGGATTAATTCGAATTAATGACATCACCAATCCTCTCTCTCCCTCCTGACAACTTCTGAAAAATTGCACTCTCATAATGTACTCTTGATCTGCGAAAAAGGTGTACATAATGCATAATAGATCTCAATCCAATCTTTATAGAATATGCTTATGTTATCTCAGTCAAAACCTCGGCGCGTAGGAAAAAAATAGACCAGTTCCATTACGTGCAGCCATTACGGCGTACAAAAAAGTGAGAAAGGAAGACTTCTTTGGTAAGTCTTGAATTGTGAACAGTTTTACATAATATTGTTAATGAAATGACAACTACTGTACAGGTTTCCTATAAAATTAATGGAAAAAGAATGTTTTAACGGGACGCCTGATTTTGTGAAAACGTAACTCCTCGCATCTGTTTCATTTTTTCCAAAACTGGACATAATTTGACATAATTGTACGCATAACACCTTGGAACTTTGATTCAATTGATGCCTTTAGAGAGTTATGCCGCTTTTTTATTCTTTTTAAAGTATTAGGTAATTTAAGTGTCCAGGGTCTATTTTTGGACATCTTATTACTCATATCTCGCCCGCTTAACTTGTGGAGACGATATATATATAATCCATGGACACTAGTTATCTGACTGAAATACTGTGCAATTGCCATAACAACAAAACAAAACAAAAATCCTAAATTCTTAGCTGAATATTTCTAATCTAATCATAATTAAATACTTCGGTTTAGTTACAATTTAATTAAGATACAACCTTCCTTACAATTGCTTCCTTAGCAACAAGATAGCTATAGCTTCTACAATCATACCAACAAAGTAGCTGATATTGAACTCCGTCTACGTTCAAGCTTTCATCTCCTAGCAACTATGGCTTAATACTACTACTAAATACTACTAAATAGTAGTAAAAAATTTTATAAGATACAGCAGCATTTTACATATAAATATTGTTTTTGTTTGTCATCTTATGAATTATGAATTATAGTTTAATAGCTTATGTACTTTGTTTTTCAGATATATGTTATATCCTTTCCACGACAGTAACGTATTTAAACGTATCGTTTTTTCGAAAGAACACCCAAAACGTAATAAAACGTGTCAAAATTTTCTATTCTTAAAAGCGAATGTTGTTTTGTCGTAGGAAACCCGATAATATTTTCATCACATTTTTTTGCATTAGCATTTTTCGAAAGATGGTAAATAAAATAAATGTTTTGAGTTTTTTTTAAAAGTACTATGTCATTGTTATAAAAATCGGTTTAAGAGTGTCACTGATCGTTTATTAATATGTCGAATCCTATAGAAGTTTTATTTCCGGAAAAACGTTTCAATGAATAGAGATCTGAAGGGGAACCACACGACGTCAATGAATTCAATGGTGGTTTTTCTTTTTTCAGAGATGACAAAGGACAGTCACGAGTATGATGATGTGAATGATTGAAATTATGTTTCATACACTTGGTTCAAGCCGAGATTTAACAGAATAGCGGTGAATTGAAACCTACTAAACCATACATAAAGAAAACCGTCCTGAGATACCAAATGGTAAACCTGATTTAATTTACTTTCTGACGGGATAATTTGGAACTTATTGACGAAGTTATTTTTATGTGTTCTTTTACTTTATTCTTGTTTTTTCATATTGAGCTTTTTTTGAAAGACTTATGTAAAAATAAAATTATGCGTCTGTGTGAGCAATTAATTATATCCTTTAAATAAAATCTAGACATGCATTGAATGAAACAAAATTGATATCTTATCTTATCTTTTAATTGCAATCAAAACAATTTGTCCGTTACGGAAATGGTAAATCCAGCCAATTGTCCAAAAAACATTGACATTACAATAATGATATACAATGTATACAAAATGGTCGGAAGGTCTAAATACGAAAACCAGGCTGTTTTGGCGATGATAATAAAACAAAAATTCAACTTATTTTGTTTATTTCCCCTTACTTGTATAATTATCTCCCATATAGGGTTCCAATATATCTAAGATAAAAAAAAGTGGGTCACAGGGCACAACAATCGTGTTAACTGTTAAAGTTTATATATCAAGATATTTGTAAGACTGACACATTTTTAAACATGTCTTTATTCTGTATAAAATATAAAATAGACCCTTCTTAATATTACCTCATACATATTCATAGATTTCTCAGAACGAGGCTAACAGGGCAAGCTGCGGTATCTGCTCTATGTAAACATATCACGAATATATGGCCGAATGATTTTTCTACAGTGTCAGAGATCTTGATAATGTTCTGTTTGCTACATACTTGTTGAGAACTATATTTAATATTAAAAAATCCCTTCTGGAGATGAATAAATCAACAACAGGGTTTAATTTACACTATATACAGTGGAGGACATACAAGACCTGATAAGTCAATTAAAGTTTATCACAATTCCAAGTAATTTCTAATATTCTTTGTCAGTATAAATATCAGGTTAACTCTTTGCAACTTAAATAGACATTATCTGCGTTATCAGTATTTTATTGCTAACCTCAACACATGTTGGTCAAGAGTGTATTAAGCAATTAACTGATAATAGATGTAAACAGTTGGATGCTGAATTCTGTACCATACTTCCCCTAAATTTAGTTGTTGAAATAAAAAAAGTTTTAAAAAGTTTTATTCAATTTGTATTTAAAAGTAAAAAATTCTGGATGACTCTCTAGAAACTGGTTAATTTTACAGACAGCCTTATCAAATCAAATTGATATTTTGTTAAAACATGACACTTCAAAGGATTTTCAGTATCATAACTCATGATGTTGTTTACAGCAATGTAAAATACATTTCATGCTAAGTAAGGAACGTAAAAACTTATATATTATCAACTATTTAATTAATTACAGTATAAAATACTTCAAAATAAAATCATTTGATTGCAAATATCAGTAAAATCTTAAGACGAAGCTGAAGTATCAATAGATTATTGCACTTGTCCAGTTGGTCCGACTTGATTATGTGGTCATATTGTTGGAACCCTCAACTGGCTGGTATATAACAAATCATTAGGGAACACGGCACTTCCAGAGGATGTTGCCTGGACTTACCAACCCCCCATATTCTGTACATTCGCAGAAAACCTGCGCAATACCTTGCAGTTGTAGGGTATTAGGAAAGTCAGCATCGAGTTTTAGCACTTCTTTTAACATTCCAAGACATATTCTCTCAACAATAAAATGCAGTAAGAGTAAATGTAATAAACATCTTGACATATTCCCTGCACCATAATTATATTTAACAAAGCACAATTTTAAAAAACAAAGTAATGCGATGATTTTTTTTAAAGTTTTTATTTAAATTCAAGGCGCAAAAGACTGAACAAATAGTCCTTTAAAATATGCTAAAAACATTTCGCCAGTCAAGCTGATTGTTTTGCTTGCATTATAATAAATATGTAGTAAATTTTGTTGGAAATCCTGTATAACATAACAAAATATACAACTGTCAACATTTGAAAATTTGTTTGTATCAAACGTTCAATATCACTGTTTGTTTTCTTCCTTAGTTTTCTGTTTCTTCTTTGTTTCTTGCCACTGCCATGAAGAGATATTACAATTAAGGGCGATTCAAATACCAATTGTCAATTTGTGTTCATGACTGTTACAATTGGAATTCCTGAAATATATATACCTTTTATTTAGAAGTTGAAACAAGAATTATGCCATTTCTAGAATATATCAATTTATATTTTAATTGCACATATTTTTTTACAAGTGTGATATTTTAAACAAACATATTGTTATGTTTATATAAATGAAACATTTAAAACAATGAGAAATGAGAGTAATTAATGTAAGTAGTAATACAACTTAAGTAGCTTGGTTTAAAAAGAAAAGAACAATGGTATTTTGCCTTGAAATGTTCTTTCATCCATCTTATTTTCACAATCCTTTCCTTTGTTAAACTCACAAATTAGATATCTAGAATTGGAATAACAGAGTGGAATAAAAATGAGATTTCCTCAGTAAGTTTAACACACTAGGGCTTATCAGGTCAAACATTTTTTGTTTACATTCATGCCCTGTTAGCCTCTCTCTGGTGATGGAATGTATGCATATAAATTGAGAAAGGCCTTCAGGTTAATGCGAGTAGTAAACAATGCGAGTAGTATTCAGGTTATGAGCTGTCGATTTTGGAGCACTCAATCTTCAATCTCTCGCTTTTTGGGTTAAAAAAAAAAAAATAGTACTGCGATGACACGCCTATAGATTTAAAGTATTTTTGAAGATTTGATATATCTTTATTTGGCAAATTTATTTTTGCATCTCTTTCTCTCCGTCCGTGCTGTCACTTGTCAAAATTTCCTGCGAATTTCATTTATTCGTCCAAATTAATTTATATGTAAAATGCCTCCCAGGACCATGCTGTTTCTGTAAAAAAGGATATTAAGGATAATTTAATGAAAAATACACCATATTAATCTAGAAATTTGTTGTTTAAATTGTCAGTTTTTTATTTTAATTTTTTTTTGTATTATATCTTATAAGTATTACGACTTATGTATAATGACTTTTTTATTATGTCTTATGTATAATGACTTTTGTATTATGTCTTATGTGATATGAAATTGACAATTATATATTTGAAATTTAAAACAATATGGTTCTTGTATTTCATATATTCACATATACTGTTGAACTTACTATCAAGAATTAATTTGATAAAATATCATCATTTGGCTTAGTACTTGTTTGATAAATTATAAATCGAGTTCTTGTATTTTCCTTTGTAAAGAGTCACAGGTAGAATATGAATGTCCCATATGGTAACCATCTCTGGATCTCCATCAGTTAATCTTTATCAATGTTTTCTGGGTCTTTTTATTCTAAGTAGGCCACTAAGAAGAAAAAAGACCCAGTAAACATTGATAAAGATTATATTTAAACTAGTGCCGGAATACGTTTACTACTCGCATTGTTTCTGAGACATAATTTTGGTGTCAAATGAAAGATCGCTGTAACTGTATAGTTATTTTTTATGCTTGCTTGATTTTTTTCTCAATAATTAAGATCATTGAATTATTTCGGAATATTTCTTATGACATCCGTCTGTTGATAATCATTTAAAAAAGAATGAACACAAAGACTGTACTTTTCTTTGTGTGCTTTCTCTTAATTTTCGATTAAATTCAGTTATTGGTACGATACTTAGTAGCTTTGTTTATTTTTGCCGCATATAAAGATACCAATGTTCATGTTTAAAATGAATGACATTGACCTTTCGCTTTTGTATGTACATGATATACTTTAAATATATAACGCTCTTCAATTTTGGGGAATAATAAATTACAACATATAAAATTTTGTAAACTTAATAGGGGTGTTAAATGTCCGAATTGAATTTGGAAGTTTGGTTCACAAAGACACGAACGATTCTGTAAAATGTGTAACACAAAAATGATTGAATCACGTTAAACGATAAACATTTTTTCTGCTTGCATCATGTTAATAAGTTAATGATGTATTTTTCTGCAATATTTTCCTTTTCCTTTTAAATCACTAATTAAATGTAACTGATGTTACTTAAAATCACGCCTACTTAACAGTGGCTCTTTCACATTTTGGTGATCTTATTTGGTGAAATGTTTTCTAATTTTAGTTTCAGCTATAACCAATCTTGTGAAAATACATTTATAGATATTTCAGGTATAAAATATACCAAATCCCACACTTCCCACAGGGTGCCTAAACATCTTTCTTTTCACGTTAATAAGAACGCTCTCTAGGAAACCAGGGAGCAATTACAGAACAAATTTCATATGAATGGCTGAAAACAATGTTTGGTAAAAAATGCATATTTTGACTAAACAACTTAACAAAGTTAACAGTATTACATTATTTCAAAGAAAAATTGGTGCATATGTTAAAACAGAGGAAGATAAATTACCGTTATACAATTTTTACCTCCGAAAGTAAATACTTTCAAAAAGTATTTTGTTACAAAATACAGTAATATATATAACACCGAATGTGTAAATAATGCACGATTGTTGCAAAGCGTAAAGCTGAATAATGGCGGATACCTGATAGGATTTCCAACGCGGTATATATATTTAACCAAACTGAAAAAGGAATATCTTTCATATAATATCATATTGCCTAGTAGTAAATAGTGCTTCGTGGAACAGAAATTTTTTTTTTTCATGACTGTCTTTTCTTTTTTCATTTTTTATAGCTTATCACATTGTGGTGGATATAGAAAATAAATGTGTAGATTTATGAACGCTATCATTAATTCATTCATAACTGAGAGTTGTATTGAGGATATTTATTTAGTTCAGTATAATTCACCGAGTGAGCGCCAAAAAGTACATTTCACGAGTGGCGCAGCCACTAGTGTAATATGGACATTTGGTGTCACGAGATAAACGAATTTTCTTTTTAGCAACTGACTAAGCAACGGACTTTAAACATTGGCATACAGAAAGAAAAGCAGCTCGTAATTCTTGTGTTTTTGATTTCAGAAAATACGGTTCCACAGATATAACAAGTATTCCAAAATATTCCAAAAGTTTAATGACAAAAAAAAAAGTAAGAAAATGAATTTGATGTGACGATTTTAGAATTTTTGTTCAAAATACAAAGGCATTTTTTTTCAAATATGTTATTTTTATGATCAACGACATTTAATGCACAAAGACAAGATTGCTTCTTTAAAAAGAAGCATGCGAGAGGTTACCTGTTGGAGATTTAGGAAAGTAAGAACTTTTGATTTAATCTGCGAGGTGTTCCGAAGTTACTCCTGATCGACTCCTTGCGCGACCAGAATGATGTAACATTTATTTCAATGCTAGGTGTCAGTTGTTTGTTTAAGAAATAACATCGGCCTGAGAGGTCATCAAAACTCCAAACCGGTGTTTAATAGCCGATATACACATCTCAGACTGATTTTATTTCGATTCTAACACGATGAAATAAGGAAAATCACTAATGTTATTTTTTGAGCGGAAAACGTCATTACGCTGCATAGGGATTGACGCCGTTTTGTCAAAGTATTTATTAACTGATATGGATCTAATATGTGGCGTTAGTGTATGTGAGATATTATTTCGGTATTGTATGAAAAGAAAACATACGAACTGATATGGATCTAATATGTGGCGTTAGTGTATGTGAGATATTAAAATGCTTTTGTAAACTATATTATCGAGGGTGAAAACATAACAGCGCAGTAGTCCCTAACCGGTGTTTATTGGCAGTTTAACACCGTTTTTTTTTCTCCCTTTTTTGTCTATAGTGACAAAATCACGTGAGTGTTAGAATTATGAATAAAAGTTACGATGTAACAAAATTTTAATTTTTTCTAGTATTTATTAAAAGAGATACACAGTCTGTTTTTGTGAACATATGAGTCATGTAGTGGAATATTTTCAATCCGTATTCAGTCCAGGGATGATTATAGATAGTCGTCAAAAAATTCTAAAAATCCAATATAGCACTGGAAAAATTTGTATGATTCGATTTAATTATTTTAAAAGACTATCTGTAACCGTTAATATTTATTATTTCTGTGATCTTTTTTAAAAAGTTTTATGTAGATGTTATTTAATTAGAATTAAATGCAGAGATATCTTTGAACAAGGGCTTGTTAAAAGTTTAAATACAGATGTTTTGGTAGAGCATTTGAAATTGTGAGTTATTTGATTTATTGCTGAATAAACTTTGACCAAGGGTCAAGGTGTAACGAAATCTAGTCGAGGATTCCAGTGTTACGTATTCGTTTGTTTATGTATGAAGAAAGTTTTGTCTTTTCTTGTATTTCTGAAATCATTATAGTATGAAGGTTATTTCCTGATTGTTTTCTGAAGTTGTCTTTTTTGGCTTCTTAGTTTCCAGTTTATTTTTATCTATTTACAAAGCTAAATTAGACACAACTGCTATTTTATTTAAAAAAAAAACTATTATTTTACAATAAATTAATATTGAAGGCATGCATTTAATAAAAGTACGTTTACGTTTAAATAAAATTTTAAAATTAATGGCTTAGTTTCTAAGGTTTTCTTTTGTACAAAAGAATCACGTAAGGTCGCTGATTTTTAGACTTGGTTTCCTACTACACCCCCCTTCTCACGTTGGAGTAGGGTTGTGTAGCCGACTCGCAGTATACTGACTCGGGAAGTATGTGCAAATAATAAATAGCCAAAACACCATTAAACTATCAAAAATATGGATGTTGAAATATGATTTATATAGTTTGTTTTTCATTGCATATCCGGCAATGTAGGTAACAAATATGAATTTTGCCTGTTGGATTCTCTTTGATTCAAATCTTTTTTTTTTATTAATTACATTGCATTAAATAGAGATTTACTTTACACAAGTCTTTTTTTTTAAATGAACGGACAACAGACAACAGGTCAAGACAACAGAAAGCTTTGAATTTTCTTAAACTTGCAGTTGGGTAATCTCTCCTTTGTTTGAACAATTCCAAGGCCTTCCTCTTATTTCTGTCCCAGACTAAAGGTCTTATTCCTCTTATTAGGAGATAAATGATTTATTTTCGTTTAAGAAAATAAAAGTTATTTATTGCAGTATAAGATTGCGGTCCAATTGTCATTAAACTTGAAATGTATATGTAATTGACAGGCGGATAGATACGCCATTAGAGGACTTCGT